ACACCACAACAACAACAACACACACCACCACACACCACACACACACACACACATGTAAGAATTTCAGCTAAAGACTCGCCATTAGGGAACCTTAATCTGGAGATGAAAATTATAACCAATGCTGTGATGAACATTCAAAGACGAAGAACTATCCTCGACGAAGCCACGCATCAGTTTAACTTTACATCTGGTTCTCCTGCTTTCGTGCATGGTCTCCCGAAAGTGCACTAATCTGGAATACCTCTTAGAGCTCTATCGGCACTTTCAATTACAACTTGGTTAAATTCCTTGTACAAACCATTCAGCCTCTAACATTTAATGAATACACGATATCCAACTCATCTAACTTCGTAAATGAAATCAGTTAATTAAGAGTTGATAACACCACAACTATGGCTTGCTTTGATGTCGAGTCTTTGTTTGCAAGTATGTAGTGAATGCAGGAACAAGCACAGCACCGTAACAGTACTTGGGACGCAATCCACCAACTAAAAGTATGCAAACAACTCTGCAAACAAATCCGCACCGCCTTGGAAGTAGCGGGCAATACCCATTTATAGATCCTCGTTCTGCCAAGACAATGCCTGGCGACTCCTGTTAGGACATCGCCAGGTTTTTGGTCTGCTCCTCGGAGCAACTTCATGTCCTCGCAGAGAGACGCAGGACATGGAGGTTTCTGTCTCCAAATCTTCCCGTGAGAGGTCCCCGGGAAGCTCGGGAGAGGAGGCGCCTCCCTCCCAGAAAAAGGTTTAAAAAGGCGAACAAAACACTTCCAAACCCCATAAAACGTTATCTTCACGTTGAACATAATACATTGGAAATGTCGAAGTCTTAGAACTAGAGTAAATGACCTTGGATTAACCTCGTCTTATGCTCCCAATATTATTGTTCTACAAGAGACCCATTTAAACATTATTTCTGATGATTTAGTTTCGTTGAGTAACTACCATATGTGTCAGAAGGATCGAGAGGGTAGGGGTGGAGGCGGAGTCGCCATGTACATCCACCATAACCTCTTTTTTACAGAAGTGACTAGATTCTATGGAGGTTGTCGCATGCAAAGTAAAAGTCAGTAGTACGTATCTAGCTATGTGTTCAGATTATGGTCTACCTGATAATGTTGTAATTTCTGATGAGCTCATTGCTCTTCAGGGTAGTCTGTCACGAAATAAATTTTAGGTGACTTTAATGCTCATCATACATTATGGGGTTCCCTGCGGATGGATGGTAGAGGTGAGCAAGTAGTTAAGCTTGTTAATGATTCAGACCTAATCCTTATGAACGATGGTAGTCCAACGCGAGTAGACGATAATATCGGTAATTTGAGCTTTATTGATCTATCTCTGGTCTCTTCAACAGTAGCAGCCAAGTGCCTGTGCCACACCATTTACGACTCGTTGGGAAGCGATCACTTTCCTCTTTGTATTAAATATTCATGCGACCCAACCAGAACGACTTCAGCACCTAAATTTAACGTAAAAAGAGCAGACTGGGTCGCCTTCACAAGGAGCATCAAGCTCGAAATTGTTGGAGAAACCATTGATGATAAACTAAACCATATTCAAAATTCTATTATAGATGCAGCAATGAAATCCATTCCTACGACTTCGACAGATAGCGTTACGCATAGAGATCCATGGTGGACACCAGATACTGTGTGAACGCAATAGGGCATACAGGCATTTCAAAATAACATCACAAACGAGAACTTTCGTAACTATAAATTAGCAAGAGCTAGGGCTTGTAGAACAATCAGATAAGCCAAAAGAGACTCCTGGCGAAGCTTTGTCATTAAAATGAATTGAATAGTAACACCAAAATATCACAGGTTTGGTCCACTGTCAATAAAATCAATAGAAAAAAATCTTTCAAAATTAAAAATATTATTCATGAGGGAACCAATTTAGACTCGCCTAGAGACATCACTATTGCACTCACCAGGCAGTTCTCTTATACAAGCAACTCAGACAACTACCATCCCGCATTCCTGACCATCAAGGAAGCGGCTGAGCTGCAACCCATACACTTTGCCACAGATGAATTTGATTACAATAAAGACTTACAATGAATGAGCTTGTCCGAGTCCTAGAAGATTGTAGAGGAACGTCCCCAGGCCCCGATGAGATTCGGTATGAGATGATAAAGCATCTTAATCATGATACCATGATTAAGTTGCTAGAAGTGTACAATGAAATTTGGAAAAGCCAAACTTTTCCAAACTCATGGCACTTCGCCCATATCATTCCCATATTGAAATCCCAAATATGCCATCAACTGCCCAAATGCGTTGACAAGTTGCTTATGCAAGGTCATGGAACGAATTGTTAATCGTTGGCCTTTGCATTTTTTGAATTCCAGGAATTTACTAGTTGACGAGTAGTGCGGTTTCCGAAAAGTACGCCAAACTCTCAATCAGTTAGTAAAACTGGCCAGTCATATTCAAGAGGCAATTGTCAAAAAGCGTTTTTTGATTTCGGTATTTTTAGACAATGAAGCCTACGGCATGACATGGCAATATGGCCTACTCATAAAACTATTCTTTTGAATTACGTGGAAACTTGCCTAGTTTCATTCAAAATTTCATTTCTGACAGAACTTTTGCTGTCAAATTGTTCTCTGACAATTACATTTTTGTCCAGGCAAACGGGGTCCCACAAGGAAGTGTCTTGTCATCAACTTCATTTCTGTGCATGATAAATTACCAGCTCCCCCTCAGAATCTTAAATACTCACTGTACGCTGATGATTGTGTATTATGGCATTCCAGCAGTAATGCAGAATTCTCAGCAAATCGCATCCAATGGGGTTTTTAAGTTAAAGAGTATTGGGGTATTTTTTCACGTAGGAGGATGCCGAACATCAGGCTAACTCTAGACAACCACCCAATACCTATTCATAATTCTGCTAGATTTCTCGGTCTGTTTTTTTTTTTTTTTTTTTTTTTTTTTTTTTTTTTTTTTTTTTTTTTTTTACCGTAAACTTAATTGGAAAGACCGCATTGGACAGTTAAAGAACAAATGTCAAAAAGCACTAAATTTACTAAAGTGCATTTCTGGAAAAAAAAGGAGAGCTGATAGAAAGTCTTTACTAATGATATATAAAGCCCTGATTAGGTCTAATGTAGATTATGGGTCAATCGTGTATGGTTCGGCATCAAAATAGGTTTGAATACTCTACAGAATGCATGTGTGGGTAGATGTCTTGGAGCCATCAAATGTACAAGGATTGAGTGTCTTGAGGTGGAGTCAGGAGTACCTCCCCTCCGACTCAGACGCGGCCAGCTGGCACTGACCTATGCTGCCAAGGTAGCTCGAGACCCAAGCCAGCCTAATGGTAATGGTGCCATTAGGCCCTTTACCACAAGACTCCATGACCTCATCCTAAAAGTCGCTATAGATCTCTCTACCATCGATACCCTGGTTCAGACAAATATAGCACCATGGGAAACGCCCAATTTCACCATCATGGAAGCTTGGCTTCCATCGACCAAGGCCATGGCGCCGGAGGTGGAGGTACACCAGAGGTTCAGAGAGATCCTTATTAAACATCTACTTTTTCATATATATATATATATATACCGACGACTCCAAGGCTGAGTAATGTGTGGGTGCGGATGTATGGTCGACTGAATGTGAACTGAGATTCAGATTGCCGAATCATACATCGGTCTTTATTGCCGAACTTTTTGCTATTGATAAAGCTATTGATTTTGTAATATGGACGATCCACGATAGAATTGTCATTTTTTTGGATTCAATAAGTTCATTTAAAGCCATTAAATCATTATAAACCAGTAAAAATTAACTACTGGGTAATATCATTCGTAAGCTACATGGTGCCAACAAATCAATCAAGCTGATATGGGTTTCAGATCTCAGGTGTTTTATGTCCCTTATAAAAGCAAAAATCCATCTCCTGTGGCAAAGTGAGTGGACCGACCTGCAACTGACAAATAA